GATAATCGTACTGTCACCAAAATTACACTGGTGTTTGCTGTTCAACTGTAGTTTGTGCACACAAAAGCATTTTACTCTGGGCTCAGCAGGAGAAAAACTAAAGAGGGGCTTCGACATGTGGCAGACCAGTTGTTGGTGCTGCCGGATTTGGCACCCCCACTATAACTTTGTCCAAGATAGTCGTACTGTCACCAAAATCACACTGGTGTTTGCTGTCCCCCTCTAGTTTGTGCACACAAAAGTGCTAGTGGAGCACGCTCGTGGACTGTGAGCGCCGGAGCCTCGCATCCCCACTGCAGAGTTGCGCCGCATTTGCGAATTAGATTAATTGCGCCGCATTTGCGCAGAAGATGAGGCCCCCTCCGCAAGGTGAGGACCCACGCAGTCTGCGTGATCTGCGTGTAGGGAGGGGCGGGCCTGCCCACCAGGTTTGGTTGTTTCAATCTTATTTGAGAAGGTTTTCCATTTCCAGGATGGGAAAGATATCGGTCAATAGAGAGAAATTAAATCATTTATTTTGTTCTTCCGCTTAGAAAACTAGACGAAACGTCCAATAATTTACTACCAGTGTTCTTATCACATTTCATGTATAAGTACTTTGAATGAACTAACACAAGTAACAATAAGTCACTTGTCACTATTTGACTTTACAATCCCTGGGTAGTTACTTGGAAAGTACTACTAATGTAGTAAAATACAGTGTCAGCTGGCCATCATCTTGTGCATACAATAAAAAGTACATTTAAGGCTTTATGGGTCATTCCAGAATTGGAGGACATTTCATGTCAGGTTTCAAAATATTATTTAAATGATCAAACAGCTCTCGAACATCCCCTAAAATGGCATTTTTCTCTTGTCCCCGCTTCTTGGTGACCAACTTTCATGTCAAATATAACATTTAAAATAGGGATTTTATTTACTTTTTTTTGTATTATTCTATTGATATGTCTCTTGTAATGGTAAAATCTATTTGTTTAATCATAAACATATTTTAAATAACAGTAATTTTGCACAGAAGGGGTGTCCCTCAACATGCGTTCAACCCTGTTACCCAAACCTTTTTAGATTGGCACAGGAAGTGAAAAAACTGTAAGTCAGATGACACAGTAAGTGACATCAGCAAGCCATATGCTAGTTAGTGCCATGGGTAGACCAAAACTAAGTCCTTTCTTTTATTTTTTACAATATTTTCAGTCTTAAAAGAGTGTGGCACTCTGACCCACTCAACCCTGTTACTGATATTATCAGAATAAAGCATATTAATTTCAAAGTTATCTTTCTTGCATTAGATATCCAAGTTTGTCCTTAACCCTTTGTACATTTTGCTGGTAATACTGCTAATGTAAAATTCAGTATCATTTTAAATACAGAACTTTAATTTGTAATAGTTATGGTGTTTCAGGCTGGGTTATTTCAACCACTATACCATTTATTCTCAACAATAGACCAAGCATGTTTGAAATAACATTTATTGAATAATTAAAGCACAAAGACACACACACTTACACATCACATTGCATATAGACTATAGCATGAAATGCCTCAACTACTGTAAACACTTAACTACAGTTTTGCGGATAATTTTATTCGCAGTTCAAAACAGACATGTAATGATAACATCTGTAAGTAAAAAAAGGGAGGTTAATAGACCATCTCTCTAGATATCAAATGTTGCTACCTGATGGTGACTTGCAACCGAGAGGTAAGAAAGGTTTCCAGGTCTTTATGAAAGTGGAGGGCTTGTGTGTGTGACAGAGCATGTGTGTGTGAGTGGTAGATGAGTCTGTAGCAGTAACTGGTCTGACTCAGGTCAGGATGTGAGAACGTGTCGATGAGCTTAACTTGCTCCACGGTCCCATGACTGGCCTCTCGTATCACAGCGTGGAACTTCCTCTCATCCCACGTCGGCCCTGTCCAGAAGCTGATGTCAAAGCTGAACGGTTCGGGGTACAGGGAGAATGGTTGAAAAGGTTTCCCTGGCGAAGGACAGAGTTCAAAGTGTTGTATAAAGCGGGGGTCATGTGACCACAGAAGCCGCCAGTCAGGGAGTGAAAATAGGAGCACGGCAAGGAGGTCCAAATTTAGGGAAACAGTGACGCACACATCACTTATGTTGTCACCTTCATCGCTTGCAAATACCCTGCCAACCAAACCCATAGGCTGTGCTATTAGACGCAGGGCTCCCTGTTCTGTGACTAGGGAAACCCCGTAGGGTGCGAGCAGCTCTTCCAGCCTCTGTCCAAGCAACTTCATTGGCTCACATTCTGAAGGGAAAATCCCTCTGAGGAGAAGCTCGTGAAAGGCTGGCAGGGCCCAAAGGTTGACAGGCACGTTCTTGAAAACCAGGCCGCTAAGGCCAAATAACAAGGTGGTGACACCATTACTGCTCCCAAATGGCCCCTCCTTCTTATGTCCTTCAACCCTTGTATTATTCCCCTCATTCTCCCCATGCCTCCCTGCATTGTTAATCAACTTTTTAGTGAGAAGCTCTTCCATGTGAGGAAGCAGTGATGGACGCAGCACATAAAGACAACTCTCCCTTTCAGGATCAACCAGAGAGCATGCAGACATTAAGCTCTCAGCTTCTTTGATCCTCACTTTATCTGAGGTAGCACACGTGGCCGGCAAAATGTCCGTGTGTCCTTGACTATCCAAAACTGGAACTTTCTCTATGTTTTTAGAGGTATGAGCATCACAGTTCCTGTGTTTCTGAAGCAGATGGATCCAGCAGCAGTCCCTGCTTTTGAAGTCTGGGCAAGACGCCTGCAGCTGTTCTGCTGTGAGGAGGAAGGGAACGGTTTCTGTCGTCATAGAGATGGACCACTTATCTGCCAGTCCTTTGAGAAGAAAATCTTGCACCATCCTGACAGGGTGGACAGAACCTGAGCAAAGCAATCCCCTGATGAACGAGAAGAGACAGTAGTAAGCATGTGGTTATATCATTTTTCTTTTGGTTGCCATGGTGGCTACTTACTGATGGAGCATGAGAGTCTCTGCGTCTATGTACCTGGATATGTAATCGCTGAGCTCGGCTGTTATGTTGTACTCCACTCTGTGTCTTTCAACTGCCTCTTCAACCTGAAGTGTCTGAGCAGGGCTGAAAGGGAGGCTTCGAGTGAACACGTGCAGCAAACCTTTCTCCACATGAAAGCCCTTATCCTGGCTCCTGTACAACAAAACACCAGCATTAGAGAGACGGTATGCAAATACACACAGGGACACAAAGGGCCATTTCTATTTATACACCGCAACACTCACCTTTACTCCTTACCTGTATCCGGTGCACTTGTAGCTATGGTATTTGTCACTTTCAAAAGAGTGGACATGACTGAGGATTAGGTGTGCTTCTGCTGCCATGGCAACCACCTGCCAGCTGTTGTGCCACTCTCTCTTCGGGTGGTCGGCTGGTGTCCCGCCCTGTCCGTTGCATAAGGAAACATGAACCTCCCCGTCTTCAGACAACAGCTGAACACAACTGGAGGCATAGGAAAACAAGTATTCAGTATGTCATCATGGAAAACAGCCATTGTAAACTTCTTTAATTCATAAGAGTGCAGTCATACCTGAGGAAGAAGTTTTTGAGAAGCTCTCTGTTCTTTTTTACCCCACTCTTTCTACCGCAGTGAGGGAAGTTGAACACCACACGATCAAATTCACGGCCTTGAAGAGAGGCACATTCTGCAAGCTTCGTGCAGTCCACCCCGAAAATCAACTCTCCACCTAATCAACAAAATGTGTATATACAAATCAACAAAATCAGTGGTGGGTCAAGTAATCAGATATTTTACTCAAGTAAAAAGTAGTAATACAGAGTAGAAATGTTTGGTAAAAAATATACTTAAAAAAAATGTAACTAAGTACGCCATGTATGTATTATATGTTTAATCATATTTCATTTTTGTTATTTTTGATTCATACTATAACTACATGTTTATTCTTATTTTAGGTTATATTATTTTATTTGTATTCTTATTATCCCATGTTTACTATCTGTGTTTCTGTCTAATTCTGTTGCTGCTATGACAACCGAATTTCCCTACGGGGATCAATAAAGGTCCCTCTTAAAATGATTGTTACTATTATGCATTAATCAGAGGATTTCCCTTATGAATCATCAACAAATTATAGATTTAATGACAAAACCAATGTTTGAAGTTAAATATAAGATGATTTCAATATGTAACGGTTACCTGTTGTTAAGAGCGAGGACTCGGATGTGAGCTAACCGTCCTCTGAGTACAGTAAAGTGTAGTTAAAAGTAGAAGTACATGTCAAAAATACTCAAGTACAGTACACGTACTTAAGTGTGTGAGGTATGTGTGTAGTAACTGTCCACCACTACAAACATCTATGTACAAACAGTACTCATGTACCTGAGTCCTGGACGGTCTGGATGTTGGTGGCAGCGCCTTCATGCCGCAGTGCCTCGTCCTGATGCTGCAGGCAAGTGGCCGTGATGTTGGTCTCAGAGTATAACTGGCTCACAGAGGCAGAAAACGAGAAGTTCCCTTCTCCAACCAGCAATATGTTCCGTGAAGGACACATGGCTAGTAAAAACTGAATAAGTAGGACACCCAAAAAGTAACTTACTAAAACTATTCCCTGAAGGATATGTCCGAAGGCGAAAGGAGAGAGAGAGAGACGAGCAACAGATGACCAGCTGTAGTCTCTTCTTCACCGACTATTATAATCGTTAAAACTACATATTTTTAGTAAGTGACGTCCCTATCACGCGTCTTAGGTAGTATCGGCTAAATAACTTGAATTAAATTGATTGTAAGGTAATTAAAAACAGTTGACATTCTCCTACTCCACGGCGATGCAGCACATGAAGTACCTCACCTGGAGCAGCTCGCGTTGAAAGCGGTGTCCCAGATACAGTTGTCCGACCAGAAACAACATTTAGGGAACGTTTGCCTAAAACCTCCAAACTTCATAACAACAATTTAAATATGAATAGATGGGTATAGTTGTTGTTTATAAAATTGTAATAGAGTTTCCAGTCTTTACATGTAAATGTGAACGCGTAATTTATTTTCAGAGCAAACGTCGTGTTTTCAGAGGGACTGATTTGCAGGTTGGCGCATCACATCTGGAGGAGGGAGCTACTTGCTGCATCAGATGATCCCACTATGAATGATATTTTATAATATATAATTCAAACCACCTGACGGGTTCCGATGTGCACTTCTCAAATCGGTGTTGGATTTTAACGTCTCTCGATATAAACGGAAGTAGGTCACATTACTCACTAGTGCACAGATTTGAGTGTTGTTGCTGATGCTAAGGTCATGCTAGCTAACGGGATTGCTGCACCTGCTCATAATAATAACATCCTTGCATGATGCATATAGTAATGATCATTTTCACAACTAATGCTTTGCATGCAAGTCAGTCCAATTTAAAGATATAGCACAATGCATTCAATTATTATTATTAAATATATATGTTTTTTCTTAATCTTGATGTATGTGTCACAAACTTGTTCTGGTCTCTCTTAGTGTAGGTGTTAGTACAATGGGATACCTTGATGTTTCTATGCTCTATTTTGTCCAGAAAAGCTTATTGTCTTCCTTCAATTGTATTTCAATTGTGTACAGTTAATACTTTGCCTCTGTTCTCTTCATATAGTCACTGGCTGAAGATAAATGTGACATTGCATCATCATTAATCTTTTTTAAATACTGACACTTATATTACTGCATGTTCTTTGTCTTAAGTTTGTATATAAGATGAGTTTGTTTCATTGAAAAAATATCTATGGAAGAAATCAGACAATAAATGAAGCGTAGTATATATATCTCTTATTTGTCTCTTTGCATCATGTAGGAAGTGTTGCACCCACATGGGCAGTGTGCTGGCTTTGTCTTCCGGTCCGGGCCATCAGAACTGGCCTTTCTCCACGGACCGCCCTCCTTCTCGCTGGGACGCACATCCTGCTCACTGGGACAGTCCTCCACGCTGGGAGAGGAGAGATGGACGCCTACCCAACCCGGGCAGCTTTCATTCCCTCCATAGAAGCTGCAAAGGTATGTCAAACTAAAATGAACCATCTGTAGGGTGCACACCATAGATAAAAGACTAAACCTGCCACGTGGTACGAAAACTGAGAAAAGCAGCAAAATAGTAATGTATTGAATCTGACTGTTTTTCTCCCTAGATGTATTCCCTCAACAGATTGAGGGAGTCAAGATGATCGTCAATAAAACTTTAAGCAGCTTCTTCAAGGTGACACATTCAGTTAAACTCATAAAATTACTAAAGATAAGGGTGTAATTCTTACATCTGAAAATGTTATTATGCCGTATTATCAATTTACTGTATGTGTTTGCTTCCAGATTAGTCATGCTCTTCACCTCAGTGCTGTTAGTCCTTCCTACTATCGATTCCACGTGGAGCATCTTCAGTCTGATGATTACAGCAAGGACAAGGTCAAACATGAGTCATCGTCACATATACAATATTTATCCATTACTCAATGCTTAATGTGCTTGTTGGTATATAAAAACAGAAGAAGCTGCTGTTTTGTTGACTGGTTGCATTTGGATCTTTCCTCACATTTTTAGGATGCCCCCGCCTTGATCGGGGAGATGGACTCTTCTGGCAGTCTGAACGCTCACGCTCTGCTGAACCTCACGGAGCGAGTACGAGCCAGAACAGTGTTCCAGGTGGGATCCTAATGTCTCTCCATCCATTATGTTTACGCTGTCAGTGCACTCGTCACTTTGAACAACATTTTTATTTGAATTGTTGATTGTGTTAAAGACCCAGCAGTCCCAGTTTGTGACGTGGCAGTTTGAAACTGAGTACAGAGGGAACGACTTCACTGCTGCTGTGACAGTAGCCAATCCGGACGTCCTCAGAGAGTCAGGTGAGAAAAGACAGGTGGAAAGATAGGAATATCTTTTGATATGAGTTTACAGAAAACAGTAAATTCAGTAAATTGTTTTTTCTCAATTAAGCATCAAAATAATAGAGCTGCAATTATTAGTCAACTAATTGATAAGCTGAACTACGAAAAGAAATAGGCCAACTATTTTGATAAGACATTGATTGTTAAAGTCTTTCAAATATGGACATTTCCTGTTTTAAGTATAATCTGACATTTGATTGACGAAACAATTAATCAAATGAATCTAGAAAATAATGCGCTGATCAATCGATAATCTAAACAATTGTTGGTTGCAGCCCTAGTAAATACATTACCTGGTTAATCTTTGTTTATCTAACTATTATATATCTGTGTGTTTCTCTTGGACAGTTATCCTTGTGGCACACTTCCTGCAGAGTGTGACTTCCGGGCTGGTTTTAGGAGGGGAGCTGGTCTACCATCGGGGTCGAGCAGAGGAAGGAGGAATTCTTACTTTAGCTGGACAGTACTCAAGTAAGATTTTGCGTTTCATTGTCAATCTGCCTCATACAAATCGTTTAATACAGCCTTTACCATTCGTATCTTTTTTCCTTGATTTGGCGGCAGTGTTTCACATTTTTCTCAAATCTTGATGTAGGACCAAACTGGGTGGCAACGCTAAATGCTGGGAAAGGAGGTGCCCATGCTAGTTACTATCACAGAGCCAACAAACAGGTACAGCAGATGCAAACTCTAATGTATAAACGCTCCATTTTCCCTTGGTGCATGGTGCAAATGTGCATGTGTTCATGTTCACCAGATCCAAGTCGGGGTGGAGTTTGAAGCCAGTACCAGGACGCAGGAGACCACGACCTCATTTGGATACCAGATGGAGCTCCCAGAGGCCAACATGGTGTTTCGAGGTAAATTCCTTTCTCCAACTTTGTCTCAAACCTCATGCTGAGTGAAAACTATTAACAAGCATAAATTATAAAATGAGACCATTTTCATGTGTGTGTCTAGGTATGATAAACAGTCGGTGCATAATTGGAGGCGTATTGGAGAAGCGCCTGACCCCGCTACCTGCCACCCTGATTATGGGTGCCTTTGTAAATCACAGAGGAGACAAGTTACAAGTGGGCCTGGGCATCAACGTGGGATAATCCTCTCCTAGCGCCTGCTGGAGTTACAGCTCGCTGTCAGGGTATCCATCCAGAGACCTGCTTCAGAGGCTTGTTAAAACACTTGAACTACCCTGAGTATGGTGGATTGTCTAGGTGTTTAAACTTGCAAGCTACCTCTAAAAATGGAGGTGATGTTTCTGAAAAAGGTCATTTGCGGGCGTCAACAATTGTGACTTGGATGTGTAACCCTCCCAATGAAACCAAACTGCACATCACCTTCTGGACATGAAAGCAGAAAGGATGAGAGGCATACTGTACTGCAAACTGAAAATTACTTACGTTTTTATATTGTAAGTAGTCTTCAAGAAACGTAATGTACGTATATAGATTATATTGAAAGATAAATGTGATTTTACGTTTTGGCCCACTCACCATCATTTTTGTATACCTTACATTTTAGCTGACCATTTTCTAAAGAATCCAGTCCTACAGGAATCATATCAGGGTACTTAATATAATTTCACAATCTCCATGTCTTAATTTTTTTTTCTGTTGTTTAACCCTAACCCATATTCATCTTAAACCAAAGTGGTCAGCTGAAATGTAAAATGGATACAATTGTGCTAAAACGCCAGTGTGTTCCTTAAAACTGTGTGTATGGGTAAAATATTGTGTGTTTGATTGTGTTTTTGCAGCATATAAAACTGTGAGGTACCACACATAAACAAACAGCCTGTTGACTGTAGGATAAGAGTTTCTGCTCCATAAACTAACCTCTAGTGGAGGGATGTGAGAGCGGCGCTGCACTGACTCTGCGGAGCAATGACTGTACTGTATGTATATTATTGATGAAGGCATGTGGAAACACTGGCCTGTATACAAACTGCACTACTCACACTGCTTTGGGGATATTTCCAGTCCTTTTTAAGCTATCAGAAATTATATTATTTATACATTATGTAATATAAGCATTGAGAGATGTGGAAGGGAGAGACTGTCATTTTGACTTAATTTATTAAAAATGTTATTTCTATCAGAATATCTGTGTTTCTTCATTGCCCTAATATGTAATCGTTTCAGTTCTGTCCAGCAACATTGTGGTTTAAAGCTCCACAAATTAATGTTTCTTTGTGTTAACTATGGATGTAATGTCTACATGTAATAGGAAAGCAGTCATTCATAGTGCAAACCAACGTAAAATGAATACCTGACAAAAATTACCATCAGCATCAACTCACGTGCCTTCTAGCCTCATTTAGCTCAACGGTTTGATTCTACAGAGTTTAGCATCTAGCAAGATAATGTGCCAGATAATGTTGTCAGGTTTTTTTTAACACAAAAACAAAGCTAAATATAGAGTTAATATTGGACATTTTTGGGGTGTCAAGAAGCACCAGACACTCAAAATGAATCTCAATATTGGTCTATGTCTGCAAGATGTTCACCAAAACTGGCTTTTGCAACCTTTATATGTCTGGCTGGTCCGTTTGCTTTGCCGCAAGGTGTTTTTCAGACAGAAATCTAAGCAAATGTTGTAATTGGATCAGTGGACAGTTTGTGTTTCTGCAACCGAGCAGACTGTACAGACATTAGCTAGCTAGCAATGGATTCACCAACTGTGTGTTTGTATTCACTCTGACTGAGCTCTCCAGAAACTTAGTTTTCTGTATTTATTCCTCCAGTCTCTCTGCTGTTTCCTCTTCCCTCTTAATGTTTATGAAGCATACAAATCCCAGGTTACAACATTGTTTATGTCTAATCAGGTCTTTCCATTAAGTGTGTTTTCAATTGAAAGACATGATCTGTATAATAGCCTATTCTGTATGTTCTGTCTGAACACAAAGTCAGAGACCAAGGTTTAAAGAAGGCCTACGGTGACAAAAAAAACGTTACAGAGACTTGTTGTTGGCTTTAAAATGTAATATAAAATACTAAAGTCTGAAATGACTTACTGTACACATTCATATATACAAATATATATTCAAATAAGAGGTCTGTAAACATATCCCTGGTTGGTGGTGATAACACATCCAGCTTCAGTGGGGAAGATAAAGACTGACACTTGTCCGTCTAAATTGATGGCAGCTATCTTTGTTATTTTTCTTTAAAAAAGGAGAAGAATCCTTTCCCTCCTTCTCCCTTCAATCTCAAAGATTTGCTTCTTTGTAATCCCACTGCATTGTCTTTCTCTCGCACTCTTTCCCTCTGTCTCTCTTCCTCCCTTTGCTGCACCTGTTGATTGATCACCAGCCGCATGTCCTCCTGCAACAGGATGAGAGGTTTAGATTGAAAAACGAAATTCTGCTTTTAAACTAAACTATTGTAACTTGTTGCAAAGACACATCATTTAGATGTATGTGTATCTCTGCACACAGACTCACCTGCCAGGCCTCCAGCTCTTGAGAAAGCGCCACCTTGTGTTTAATGGNGAGTTAATTAGACGATTCAAGTGATTCGTTGAACACCCTACTAGTATACTTTTTCATGATATTCTAATATTTAGAGATAGGATATTTGAGTTTTCTTAAGCTGTATGCCATAATCAGCAATATTAAAATAATAAAAGGCTTGCAATATTTCAGTTGATTTGTAATGAATCCAGAATGTATGACATTTTTGTTTTTTTAATTGCATTACAGAAAATAAAGAACTTTATCACAATATTCTAATTTTCTGAGACAGTCCTGTATGTGTATCTCTGCACACAGACTCACCTGCCAGGCCTCCAGCTCTTGAGACAGCGCCACCTTGTGTTTAATGGTGTTGAGAAGCTGCTGCGTTAGCGATTCCTTTTCCTGACGCACCATGGTCAATTCACTTTCCAGGCAACTGCACATTGGTAATAATAAAAAGCATAACATAACCACTGTGTGCTTTCTTGGAATAAGAGGGAATCAAATCGACAAATACGTCGTTGTGAAGCATTACCTGTAGCTTGGCTTTTCAGAGCTGCTTCCGAATGGCTCCATTTCCTGCCTCAAAGACTCCAACTCATCTCTTTGAGATTGCAACTACAAATTGTGACATCGAAATTGCATACATATGTTATTCATCATCATTTAAATTTAGATTTCCATAATTTCTATACATTTTAAAGATCCCCTTAAGGAACGTTGTAGGCCTCTGCATTGAAATATAATTATTGTCTGATATAGTTTTTCCACAAAAATATCAATAAACAAGTTAACAATTCCTCAATTTAATTTTAAACCTAATCTTTCTCTTTATTAAAAATCCAAAATCTATGATTATTCATAAAAGTAAAGTATGAACACAATATGTCTCCTACTTCAATAACAAGTCCCTTTTTAGTGTATGTGATAAAGAAGTATCAGTTGCTGAATCACACTTACGTATCATTTGCATATATTATATATATTTGGCCACAACTGATCACAGAAATAGTCTTTCATTTTACGTCTTTTATTTTTGAGTGGACTGTAGCATGATGGATGTGCATTCATTCTAACTTAAATATCAGTCACACTTGTCACACTTTACGCGCAGAAGAATAATTTCTATTAAAGAAAGAATGATACGTTTCTGTCTTTTTATGCCTTTATTAGCTACTAACTTGAATTTTTATTCAAATTAATTAATCAATTATTTGTTATGTTTTATTGTAATGTAGAGACAAGGCTTTTAGTGACAATCATGTACAATTATATGTAAAACTTTTTTTTTTTT